AACAGGAGCATTTACAAAGCCCACACGTGGGGTGCACCTTGAGTACACAGCTTAGGTGATTGGGGAGGCTGTGCCACTGGACCCTACAGAACACCCACCACATTAGGTCATTCTACCATGCCTCAGAGATATACTAGCTCTATCTAATACATAGAAATAAACACAGGGAGGCTGCCAAAATGAGGAGACAAAGAAATATGTCCCAAATGAAAGAATAGAACAAAACTCCAGAGAAGAAACTAAACAAAATAAAGACAAGCAATCTGTTAGATGCAGAGTTTAAAACACTGGTCATTAGGATACTCAAGGACTCATTGGGTACTTCAACAGCATAAAAAAGACCCAGGCAGAAACAAAGGATACACTAACTGAAATGAAGAATAATTGACAGGAATTCAACAGTAGAGTAAATGAAACCATGAATCAAATTGACAATTTGGAACACAAGGAAAAAAAAACAAAAACAAAAAAACAATCATAACAGCAAAAAGAAAAAAGAAGTAAAAAAGATGAGGACAAATGTAAGGAGCCTCTGGGACAACTTCAAGTGTGCCAACATTTGCATCATGGGCATGACAGAAAGAGGAGACAGCAAAGAACTGAAAATCTATTTGAGAAAATAATGACTGGAAACTTCCCTATCCTGATGAAAAAAATAAACATACAAATTCAGGAATTGCAGAAAATTCCAAAACAAAATGAGCCCCAAAAGGTCCACACCAAGACATAATTAAAATACAAAAGGTTAAAAATAAGAGAAAATCTTAAAAGCAGCAAGAGAAAAGCAGTTAGTTACCCACAAGGGAGATTCCATAAGACTGTCAGCTGATTTCTCAATAGAAATTTTGCAGGCCAGAAGGGATTGGCAAGAAATAGTCAAAGTGATGTAAGCAAGAAACTATAACAAATATTACTTTATACAGCAAAACTGTCATTTCGAATCAAAGGACAGACAAAGAGCTTCTCAGACAAGAATAAGCAAAGGAGTCAATCACCACTAAACCAGTATTATATAAAATGTTAAAGGGTCTTAAGAAGGTAAAAAATATAAACAATAAAATGGCAATAAATACATATTAACTATTAAATCTAAAAATACAAAAAATAAACAAGTAGAATAGAAATAGACATGGATACAGACAACATTTTGACAGTTGCCAGACAGGAGGAAATAGAGGGGTGAGTTAAAAAGGTAGAGGGATTAGGGAGTAGAAAATGGTTATTAAAGAATAGTCATGGGAAGGTCAAGTACAGCATAGAGAATATGGTCAATAATATTCTAGTAGCAATGTATGCTGTCAGATGGGTACGAGATCTACGGGATGATCACTTACTTATGTAGTGCCTAATCACCGCAGTGTACACCTGATACTAATATAATAACGTATATTAACTATAATTGGAAAAGTGAAATTTAAAAGAGATTTTTCTATAATAGTCCCCTTTAAAATAAGTATTTTTTAAAATACACATCAGAAAATATTTTTGCTATTAGTAACAAATATCAATTAAATTGTTTACTATGTGTCAGGGAAGCTGCTAGATATCATATATTGTTTCATTTAATCCTTTCCACCAAGTAAACTGAATGGTAGCTATATGCCTCAGTTTACCAATTAAGAAACTAAGGCTGATAATAGTTAAACAAATTATCCAAGATAAAACTAGTAAGTGGTGAATCCAGGACTCAAACTTGGGCTTATATGGCCATCATCAACTATATCACACTGTCTGTAAACACATATGGATTCAATAATATCTACCATTTTCTTCAGTTATCAAATGCTTGGTGACGTGCTAAGTAGTTTACATTATTTCATTCAAACTTCTCAAATTTCTATGTGAGTCTTCATTTTACCAGGAAGGGATTCACACCACAAGAAGTTTCAAGGAACATGCCAGAAGGTCACATGTGCAATAGAGGGAGAGTCAGGATATGAACCCTAATATGAGTCCCAAGCTTCTGCTGTTTTAGGCTAGTTCACCTACCATGCCCCTAACAGAGTCTGCCAAATAGGTGCATGGCTAATGCACAGACACAGAACTGGATGTACCCTTCTGTTGTTAGTCGGGACTATCTGACATGCATTCTGATATTAACTTTATTAGATTAGCATGCTGTATGGATTAGCATAGTGTAGCATGTTTCATACTAAGCCTTTAATTCAATACTGCACTCTTTAATTTGATTTGTAATTAAACCTGGTCTTTAAACCGGGTTGCCCTTACTCTGCCCTTAGCTGATTTTGAAACTAAGTGTACATTCAACATTCTGCTTTTTTTATTGTAATATATACATAAAATTTACCATTTTAACTATTTTTAGATGTGTATTCACATTAAGTATATTCACAATGTTGCACAAGCACCATCACTATTCACTTACAGAATGTTCTGCTAAATTTAAACTTTGAGATTCCATTGTTGTAGTAGCTATATGTTAAGTGCTATATGACCAAAAAGCTTAAAACAGACATTTTTGTGTGTGTGATGAAACCTTTGTGTTTGTGTTACTGATGAAATTGTATTAAATAGAACCTTGAAACATTTACCGAAGATCTCCTTCCAGGTCAAAATGTATAATTAATGAAACAGTCTTTAAGTGTCAAATGCCTTGTACAAACAAGAACATTCTAAGTCTATGCCTTTCCCTTAGCTCAGGACAATCATTCTACAGACTAGTGATTCTCTATATACACATATTTACACTAATAACTTCACTTTTTACCTTCCGATGACTTATTTTTTATTATTAAAATATACGTTTTCCCCTAAATGTTTATAAACTATTATAGAACATCTCTGGACAAATTCTAAGTCTCTTAAGTATCAAAAGGTTTTTTTTAGTTTAATGTTGCTTTTGATAGTAATTTGAAATTGGATTTCTCCAGTCTTTGATTAATATTTGGCATTGAACCGAATAACCTCAAAAATAAGAAAATATTATAAATACACTTAAGAAAAAGTGTACCTTAATAAAAAACTAGATATGAAAACACTGTTTAAACTCTTCAGGGTTTATTCTGAGACTCATTTCCTACTGGTATTAACAAATGGAAGAGATGGTGAGGAACTTGAATTTAACAACTTGGAAAACCTTACAATGAGTTTTATAATGGAAAAATATACTTTATAAATAAAAGCTGGTTTAAGTATAAAGTATACTTTATACTTTTATAAAGTATAAAAGGTTTTTATACTTTATAAAAGATACTTTATAAATAAAATGATGTTAACATCATTTTCTTTTTCATTTTTTGCTAAATATAAAAAACTTAGATAACATGGACTTGCTCATCTAATTCTTAGGCTACTAAATAAGTCTCAACACACAAAAAAAAGGGCAAACTTTCAAGAAACAGTTAAAAAAGTCTGTTTTATACAGCAAGTTCATAAAAAGCACACAAAGGCTGAAAACCTAAATTAATTCCCTTTTTTTTTCCCAGCAAGCTTTATGAATCAATTATGGATCTAGCGATGCTGTAGTAGACACCATAATTTCACACCTCTGAAGGGTAAATAAAGGCCCTCCCAGAAAACACACTGAGTGCTTCTGTCCCACTTCAGCAGAACCAAACCACTACAGGACTATGTAACCAGCTGTCAAAGTTTTCACACCTCTAATCAAAAGCTTCAGTGAAAGTGGAAATAGAGTAAAACTCAAACACTGTTCTCCTAGTGCCTCAAGTAGTTTATTGGTAGTTGTTATCCACATTTCTATAAATATAAACATTCTAAGTGACTGTCACTAGTGCAGGTACATTTAACATTTGAAAGCTCCACAGGAAGCTACTTTATTTTGTGTGTAACAGGAATCAAGGCTCCAAAACTGTGCCAGAAACAAAACAAAACAAAGTAAACAAACAGAAAAACCCCTTGCTAACAAAGGAATTTCTTTTGGTTATCTTCATTACAGATAACTGTTGGCTTTACACATTCGAATTATGTTGATTTGTTCACATATGATCCCTGGAAGTTAGGTCTTTGCCTGTAGATAAGAATTAGATAATGGTTTTTCCTCCTTTGAATGTATAGTGTTCTGGATTAAAATGTAAACAGCACCACGGTCTTTCCACAAAACATAGTTTTGCTAACTTTCCCCTTCATTTCCGATAACCCTAATTTTTTTTCTGCAGCCCAGTATCGTTTCCTCCTACCTTATAATCAGGACTGGACTGCTTGTGTAACACTGTTCAGTTTGTAAACAAGAAATTAAAGCTCAGAGCATAATATATCTCTTACATTTTCACTCCACAGTGCATCAGGTGCTGTTTATAAAGCTTTCGCTTCTCTCAAAACACTACAAAAATATATGAAAAACCACATCTGTGTTTAGCCAGCAAATATTAATAAAACAGTTTACAACCAGAATGCTGTAGAGACCACATATTGTAATTACATCCTGTTGTCTGAATTCATCATTTGCTTTCTTCAGAAATCCAGACATACATCCAAACATATGCATTTATGATTAGTCTGCATGCCCAAATTTGCTATATGAAAGAGTTAAGTAAATTACTTTAGGTTCTCCAAGTGAAAGTGCTTCTGATAACAAACTATTTCTAAGTAACCACCCCCCACCCCTGCCAAAAGGTGTATTAAACCTGTGTAGAAAGATGTATAGCTATTCTAAAAATTAGACTACACACCAAAACATGCTTTATCAGGAAAACTAACCCATGCACTTGAATATGCCCCAAATACTTTATTATTTTAAGGGAGACCAACTTAAACATTGTCTAGAATTAAGATATAGCATTACATTATTTGATTGCAAAAAAATGTCAAAACTCATTTAGCTTAAACCTAAAAAACCAAACACTTCCTCCTTGTCCCTTACTGAGTGGACCAATGTGATCAATATAACTGGATATATATTAATCTACCTTAACATTCCCATTCATTAACATTTGTCTTAACACACATACAAAGCCTTGTAAGCAATTTCCTTGTGAAGGCATCCCCCAAGAAGACATACGCACAAAATACTAGACAGATACTCTTCTTCAAAGTTTTATTTCACTAACTTCAGGTCAAATTTCCACAACTCTTTTCTGATCAATTTACTATCTTTGCTTGGCTTCCCAAAATGGTAGTACCAGAAGATTTGTGGGGTAGGGAGAAGAGACCATTTTAAGCAGCACTGCATTTACTCATCTTCACAAGGCAACAGAGTTGGGCATCTGACTGTCCAGAAAAACAAAGCTTTAACAGCATCCAGGAGGGCAGGCAGGCAGACCAGGCTGTAGACACTCTTCCATTTGTCAAAATCAGACCACAGAAAACCTACTCCACACAGACATGAACGGTATCACCATTCATCTTTTCTTTTTCTGTTGCCGCAACATTTTTCTTCTTTTAATTATCATATCATGTAGTTTCTCAAGTCCTTCCTTTAATCCATCTCCTATGATTGCACAGGTGGGCTGCAAATGCCAGGGAGTTGATGAGCTCAGTTCACCCATTGCTAACAATTTCTCAATTTCTGAGAGAGACAATGAGTTCCTTAGGTCTTGTTTGTTAGCAACTATAAGTACAGGGACTCCCTGATTTTCTGATATCCTAGTTATTTTATGAAGTTCAGTTTTCGCTTCTTCCATCCTCTCAACGTCGACAGAGTCCACAACAAACACAATGCCATCTGTGCATCTGGTATATGACTTCCACAGTGGTCTTAATTTCTCCTGACCACCTACATCCCAGAAATGAAAAGTGACTGTTTTAGAATTTCCCAAGGTTACCTTAATTTTTTCGGTGTTAAATCCTTTGGTAGGTACGGTATTTACAAACTCATTGAACTGCAGCCTATACAAGACAGTTGTCTTTCCGGCACAGTCCAAACCAAGAATAACAATGTGGTAGGACTGAAACGAAGGCAGGCTGGACAGGATAGAGGTCTGGTCTGACAGTCCATTCCCCATTTCCAGTTGCAACAAAGTGTTCCAAACTGAAACGCTTTCTTCTTACTGCTTTACAACTTCTCCTAGGGGATCCAGCTACGAGACTGCTGAGGGGGGAAATGAATACGTTATTCTTGTGAAATAATGTACATTTTTTCTTGGTGCTAAAATACACAACACGAGGAACTTGATAAATAAAACTTGCTTCGGTAAACAAACCAAATGAGATATGAAATGTAAGTAATCTGAGACAAACGAGAGAACAAGCATTGTGATTCAAATTCTTTAACATTACGCGAATTTGTAGTAACGTGCACTTTTCCCTACCCTTCTGAGTCCCCAAACCTCAAAGACCCCATTCCAGGTCTCAGTAACCACACAAGCGCCTTTTTTGAGGCAGAAAACTCATAACCCATAACCCTATAATTAATCTTGAGGCTCTAATTCCACATACTTAACAGCATGCCCAAAGTCACTGGTAACCTCCTACCTGGCCCCCGCCTCCCTAAAAAACCACAAGGCTCACCTCCCGAACTGGAGTCTCAAAATGAGAAAGCATTGATAGGCGTCTCCACGCGGTGGGGGGAATCCCCGCACGTCCGCACTGCCTGGCTGTTCAAGGAGCTGTGGCGCTTGCTGCACTAAAACCGTGGTTTCAGGCTCCGACCACGCCCACTCCACACGGCCCACCCATTAGCCCAAATCCCATTGGCCATCCCGGTAAACTCTTTCGGGCCAGGCCCGCCCCCGCGCCCTAACCGGTGAGAGTAACTGACGCTCCCCGAGCGGCGGAGCCCGGCTCTCCCTAGGTCCACAGGCACCACCTGTTGCCCTCAAGTTAGAAAACAAGGCGCCCGCGGAGGGAGCCGAGCGGCCCCTGCAGAGCAGAGGAGCCTCGGCCGGTAGGTCAGGTCGCCAGCCCGCTCGCTCTGCCCGCCTGGACACACCTGCAACGCGGGCCACAGACGCCGCGCCCCGGCTCTCACATCCGGGGCCCGTGGTCACTGTCAGCGGTTTAACTCTTTGTCCGCTGGCGGGAGGGAGCTCCCTGCGGCCGTGCGGGCGCCCTGGCGTAGACTACCCGACCCACGGCACCCCTAGAGCAGCCCCTCGGCCCCCGCAGCCAGATCCCTTCACATCGCCCCTCCGCACCTAGCCAGCGGGTCTCCCGCGACTGGGCGTGGCCACACCAGCAGTCAGCCCCGCGGCGGCTCACCTGACTAACGGTCCAAGCCTCGTCCAGACCCCACATCGCTCGCAGCCGCTCTGGAGAGCACCAGCTAGGCCTGGGCGGTGGCAGGGGCCCGGTCGCCGCTTCGAGAGGCGCCGGGCGGGCGCCCGGGGCGAGGCCGTCTTAACGGTGCTGCTGCGACCGCTTCCCGAACCTGCCGCGGCCCCGCCCCCTTCCAGCTTCGGTCCCTGAGCTGGCCAGTGGGGGGCGAACGGGAGCCAGGTCTCCTAGCAACCGCAAAACAAGGTCACGTTTGAGCACTCCTGGAACAAGCTGGTAGTGGACGAGCTGGGGTTTCTGCCCAGGGAGCCCTTACTTTCTGCAGCCAATGGCTGTCTTCGGTCGGGCCCCGAACCTTCTATCTTTAGGGCACTGTAGGGCTTCGTAGGGGCGGTGGCCGGTGACGCAGGTCGGGGATATTGGAGGACGCGCGGATGGGCGGTCCGCTTATATAACGGGTGACGTGGATGTGCCTCTCACCCAACTGGTGTCTGAAATGCACCTTCCTTCTGCAAAGCAAATAAATAGTCTCTCTCTCACATGATCCTAGCAACAGTTCTGTGAGGTGGCTACGGGTAGAAATATCCTGGTTTTATAGATGAAGACATACACTGAAAAATTAAATGGCTGCTTCTAATGTCCCAAAGAAAATCAGTGGTGGTTCTGGAACTTAATTTTGTAAGTCTACTACTCAACAAATGCAAAATACCTTCCAATGGATAATTCTGATTAAATGCAATTATGTACTTGACCGAGAAACTTGCAAATATTTATTGAACACCTAATAGGCAGTAGGAACAATTCTATGTGCTTGGATTTAGAATGGTGAGCAAATGCAGTATAAGTTAAGGCTTGCCTTGATTGTGGAATCTCATTAGCCATTTACAATAATCATCAAGCAAGTGATAGAGGGCTTATTGCGATGACTAGTCTCCTTTTTCTTTGGAAATTTAACAGGATTTATTACTAAACTGGAGAAAGAACATGATCCAATGACAGCTTTCTGTCTATAATAGCTTTGAAATCGAGTAGGTCCTTTTCACATTAGTTTCAAGGGTGCATTTTTGCAAACTTCCCCGAAACGAAAGGAGATAGGAGAATATTGAGAGCTTCCAGCCCGGCAAAATCATCTTCACTGAACTGCACTTTAACATCAGAAACAACCTTATAACTAGAATAGGGGGTGGCAAATTACAGCCCGTGGGCCAAATTCAAGAGATAAGAATGGTTTTTATATGTTTAAAAGGCTGCAACAGAATAGATAAGAATATGCATAAAGACCATCTGTGGCCCACAAAACTAAAAATATTTGCTCTCTGGCTCTTCATAGGAAAATGATGCTTCTGCTCGATAAGCAATAACGATCATATAAAACTGCAATAAATGATATAAAAAGTGATGAAATTTATGAAACACACTGTCTACTTTGTTGCACAATATTTCTGTAGAAGGCCTATTCAGATATTTTATTTAGATGTTATGCCAGGAAAATACTCCCGTTAGGCTATTAGTTCAACTCTGCTCTGGAGCTCAGGGAACTCAAAAGGATTCTATGGGGTAGTTTAACTTTTTGAGGGGAGCACAGTGCCATCTGTTGGACCCTCTTAAAATTACAACTATTAAGGTGTCCGGATCTAACTACACTAGTTAAAGGAGACCTTGAGTATTTCTTTTGGCCTGAATCACTATGAAAAAAATGACTGAGACACTACGGACTCTGTGGAACTCCGTCTTTACTTCTGGTTTTCTAAACTTGGCTTATAATGAGAATCACCTGGTAGTGCTTGTAAAAATAGTTCTCCGATTCTCATTAGGGATCTGCCAAATCAGAATCATCAGGGGAGGGGTTAGTGATCTGTATTTTTAACAAATACCCCAGGTAATTAATGATTAGACATTCTGAGGAAATGGCTGTTTTCTCCTTTCAAAACAGATCTGATTAAAAACGAGCAAAGGAACTGAAGAGATATTTTTCCAAGGAAGACATAAAAACAGCCAACAGTTACATGAAAATGTGCTCAACATCACTAATTATCAAGAAAATGCAAATCAAAACCACAGTGAGATATTACCTTAAACTTGTTAGAATGGTCATTATAAAAAAAAAGAAGACAAGAGATAATATATCAGCAAGGATACAGAGAAGGGGGACCCTTGTGTTGTGCTGGTAGGAATGTAAACCACTATGGAAAACAGTATGGAGGTTCCTCAGAAAAGTAAAGTGCTATATGACCCAGCAATCCCACTTCTGGGTATATATTTGAATGAAATAAAATCAGTCTTGAAGAGATATGTGCACCACCAAGTGTATTGCACAATTATTTACAATACGCAAGACATGGAAATAACCTAAATGTCAATGGATAAGTGGATAAATAAGTTGTGAGGCTATATATACATGATGGGGTGTTAGTCAGCCTTAAAAAAGAAGAAAATTGTTATTTGCAAAAAAATATGAATGAACCTGGATGTCATAATGCTAAATAAAACTAGTCAAATACCATATGTTATCTATATTTGAATTTTAAAAAATTTTTTATTTATTATTTTTGAGAGACAGGAAGGGAGGGGGAAAGAGAGGAAGAGAAACATTGGTGTTCCAGAGCAACATCGATTAGTTGCCTCTGCCACAGCCCCAGCTGGGAACCTGGCCCAGTACGTAGCCATGTGCCCTGACCAGAAATCAAATGTGCAACACTTCAGTCCTCAGGCCAACACTCAACCCACTGAGCCACACCAGCCAGGGCTGTATCTGAACCTTAAAAAGTTGAACTTAGAGAATCAGAGCATAGAATGGTGGTTGCCAAGGGCTGGGGAGGGAGGGGAAATAGGCAGATATTGCTTGGTCAAGTCATATATACAGGCATAAACTTCCAGTTCTAAGCTGAGTTCTGAGGATCTAAGGTACAGCATAGTGACTGTAGTTAAAGATACTGCATTGTTATCTGAAAGATGCAAAGAGAGTAGATTCTTAAATGTTCTGAACACACACACATACACACAAATGATAACTGTGAGATGATGGATGTCTGAACTAACCTTATTGTGGTAACCATTTCACTATATACATTTATATATTTAATATATATATTACATATATATCAAATTACCATGTCGTATACTTTAAACTTACACAAAGTTGCATGTCACTTATATCTCAATAAAGCCAGATGGGGGATGTTATAAAAAGACATTTTTTCTGAGCATTTTGATACAGTGATAGAAGAAAACTGGTCATTTATTTATGTTTCATTATCTTATAATCAGAACGTGTTTTGGGGGCTGGACTCCATTTCTGATTGCCTCCTGATCTCCTCTGCAAGTACCAGCATGTTTAAAACTTGATTTTCATACTTGCTAAAACATGGTCCTCCTTTCAGTCCCTGTGTTGGTTGGTGGTGATTCATTTACTAGCCTCTAGTAGAAACCTCAAAGTTATTTTTAGAATTATTCTATGTCCTGCTCCTGATTAGCCCCTACTGTTTCTTGAATCCATTTTGTTCTTTGCATTTCACTTCCACCACATACACCTGGTTCTCATGATGTTTCCCTTAAACTAGTTAATTCACCTCTCAACTGATTTTTCAGTTAATAGAAAGTGGTGCTGGGATTTGCCCCCTAGGGCTGGCACTGGAGTCTGTTCTCTTACTCATCAGTCTATAGGTGTCCACATTTAGTTAATTTACTTCGATTCACTGTAGCATAAACCCGGGGTACATTTTTTTAAAGACAAGCTCATGTGTGCAGTTTGTTTTTTTTTTTTTAAAGACAAGCTCATGTGCATAGTCTTTTTAAAAAGATTTATTTATTTATTTTTAGACAGAGGGGAAAGGAGAAAGAGAGGGACAGAAACATCAATGTGTGGTTACCTCTTACACACCCCCTCCTGGGGTCCTGGCCTACAACCCAGGCATGTGCCCGGACTGGGAATCAAACCAGTGACCTTTTGGTTCACAGGCCGGTGCTCAATCCACTGAGCTACACCAGCCAGGGTCAGGGTACAAGTTTTGACAAGTCTGTAAAAAGAGGATGTCAGAAGAGAAATAGAAGCCAAAATTCATTTAGAATGACTCCTAGATAAGGATCCCCTGGAAACACATGTCCAAAATCTTTCTCCTGAGGTCCAGCTCCCTGCGGTTTGAAGTCACAGGACTGTTTGTCTCCTCCTCTGGCAGGTGGAGGGCTTTTATGTGGACACTGAATGCCAAGAGGCCCAGTGGTAGAAAGGTGTCATACAACATTCCCTGCAAGGCCTACTTTCTATGTCCCTGACCCTGGTCTTGGACCTGCCTCTTCTGGAATGATTGACAGAGGGAATGTCCAGGCCAACAGCCCCCAAAGCAGCTATTGCATCAGAGCAGATGAGTCCTGATTCTTCTCAGTTTAACTAGCATTCTGTGCTATAATTGATTTCAACAGTCCGGTCTGTCCAATCCTTTTTACATTAAACATTTTAATCATCTCTATCACAGGCTTTTTATCCTCTTGTTGGAGTGTTCCAAGGCTCAGTTTTTAGGTCTTTACTTCCCCTTAAGTAATTCCCTCAAGTACCAAGTTTTTAAGAATCCTTTACTCTCTAATATTTGTCTCTAAACCTGGACCTCTTCCCTGAAATACAAAACTGAATACAGGCACCTCTAACAACTCCTAAACAGACCCCTCTTACCCAGCATTTATCACCCTGTACCTTGGCGACCTGATTTATTCACTTACTCAGAGCAAGAACCTAGGAATTGTCCTCATACATAAATCTAATCATCAGCCAGTTCTGTGGATACACATCCAAATCCGCCCACTTCTTACCACTCCACTGCTGTCATTCTAGTTCATGTCCATTGTGTCCCTTGTCCTTGGATATTGTCTCTCCACTCCCCTGGAGAAAGCGGTTTCCCCGGACTCTTTCCCCAGTGATGCCTTCCCTGAATAGCTTATCCAAAGCATCCGCCCTGCCCTCCTTTCCCTGCTGCCATTCTCTATCCCTTACTTTGCTTTAGTTCTCTTCCTAGCACTTGTCACATGTGGTATAATGTGTATTGGTTTATCATGTGCCCTCACTAACTGACCCCTTCTTTTCCATTAAAAGTTCTAGCAGGTGCCCTGGCTGGTGTCGCTCAGTGAATTGAGTGTGGGCTGGGAACCAAAGGGTCGCTGGTTCAATTCTCAGTGAGGTCACTGGTTGAGGCCAGGTCCCCACTGGGGGCCACATGAGAGTTACCCACACATTGATGCTTCTCATCCTCTTTCACCCTCCTCTCCCCTCTCTCCAAAAATAAATAAAATCTTTTTAAAAAAGTTCTAGCAGGCAAGGATAATGTCAATCATGCGGTGTACCTAGAAGGAGCTCATGA